TTAATGTGATGGGGGGACCTATTGTCCTCCCCCCTGGCCCCCACTCCTGAGCTGTCGGTGGGGGCCCTAAATTGGAATAAGGGGGGGGACCTAATGTCCTCCCCCCCTGGCCCCCACCCCTGAGCGGCGGGTGGGGTCCCTAGACAAGAATAAAGGGGGGACCTAATGTCCTCCCCCCTGGCCCCCACCACTGAGCGGTGGGTGGGGGCCCTAGACAAGAAAAAGGGGCCTAATGGTCTTTCAGCCTTTTAGTAGATAGCTCCCTAATACCGTGGGAATTAGGGATTTATCTACTAAGCGGCTGCAATAGAAGTCCTGAGGTGCCGAAGTCCCGAAATTCCGAAATGCCGAAGTTCCCGAATTTCGGAATGCCGAACCAAACCGAAAATTTTCCCCATGCACATGCCTAGTACGAACAGCACCAGACACATACCCTGCTACAACAACTCCTGATAGGTTCCCACGCTCCACGCAACCCCACATACAGGCACCTAATATCGCACTGAACCCACTGACTACCGGGGTCCCAGTCACCCAGCAAAGCGCTTCAAACAGGCGAACTATCAGCCCAACAACATGCTCAGGGAACGGAGTATGACTATACACTCCACAACTACCACCACAGTATACGTACTCCAACTATGAATTATCATAATTATCATAATGCTTAATTAAATAATGACCTCCCCATCACTGCCTCAAAACAGATGCACATACACTGCAGCAACAACCCTCAAGTCCACCCCACCGAGTTCAGGAGAGGAGCAATGTCATTGCTTCCTCTTAACACCTTAATCCTTCAAGCTCTCTTTACCAAATAACTGAGATGCCACAGGAGATTACGCATCTCCTATCCCTCACAGTGTGGATACCCTGCATCAAGACCTATAAACGGGTATGTATGCCAACAGTTGTAATGCAGTTGCAAACTTATACATCCCTAACAACAGAGATTTTAACATGGCATAAGCATCCCTCCCCTACTACCTAACAACAAGAAAATACAATCCCAAATGCCCGTGGCCTCAACACACCCCATAAATGTTGCACACATCTAACTGAAGCCAAACACCAGCAGGTCAACATACTGTGCATCCAAGAAACGCATTTTTCACACAACCGAATACTTGTTTAGTCTACGGGATTTCCCCATACAATACCACGCTACCCACACCTCCATAACCAGAGGGTTATCAATCCTAATACATGATTCAATATCTTTCGAACTACTACAACTTAAAAAGGACAGTCAGGGTAGGTACATCAAACTGCACTAAGAATATGTACAAAGGATCAGCGCTAATATACTAGATCTTACAGAGATAAATATAAGGCAGCACACCTGAGCAATAGGGCTCCCTCACAGGCCCTATAGAGTAGACAAAACTAAAAAAGGTGAAAGGGGAGGTGGCGCCACAGGTGAAATAAAATATAAATAAATAAATAAACCTGATTATAAACTATACATGCACATATACAAGACACTATATAAGAGAAAATAGATACAAAATAAAAAAAACAAAAAGAGCTTGAAATATGGATAATGAATAATAATCAAGAGTCCAAAGATAAAGTCCAAAAGAGTCTATGCCTGATACATATCACATATTATTCAGATTATCCATCACACCCTCCCTCTCACCCCCTCCACCAGTACTTGGTAGAATTTATTTTACGCTTTGGTTTATATTCCATAAAATGGTGTATGCAAGTATGGGAGGAGAACTGTGAAAATATGAAAGTTTTCAGGTTGAGAGAAAAGTGTTAGATTTTTAAAGTTTGGTTGAAAAAGATACAGAAAATTAGATGTGTCCAGCTTTGATTCCAGATGTCAGATCTTAGCTGTTTGCTCTCAGATGTTAGGTGTGAGATCCCCTCTTTCTCTTTGTCCTTAATTTTTAAAGGAGAATTTCTCTTTACGTCACTAGTTACTGCGACCAATAGAGTACGGCGGGCGTGTCTTCCCTACAGACTATCATCTAGATTTTGGTCAGTAGGTGGTGCAATTACATCACAGAAAATTCTTGTCAGGGGGTCCATTTACCATTTGGTATAATGGGTTTACTGAATTTTGTGATGCGTTTGAAATCACAAGTCTTAATCTTTATGATACCCGTCTATCAAAAAGCTGTCAGACTTCAGAGGCTTTTCTCTGTCTGACTGTCTCCTTTTTAAGCCATAATTTAGATTTTGACGCATTTAGTCTTAGTTTCACCTAGTTTAATGCAATGGAACTTTGTATCAATCCATAATATTTAAAAAGAAATTAATTACTTTAGTGTTATCTGTCTTCTTGTGTGAAGCTACATAGTTAGTAATGTGACATCATGTGATATATACATGTCTCTTACACATTCAACTATATTATTTTAATATTATTAAATTTCTTCATTGATATTCTATTCATGAATATTCTATATTATTAACATAGTACTATTTATATATGCTTAAATATAATAATAGTAACTTTTATGTGGATATACATGCATTTATATTTGTGTTTCTGGGTTGTTGCGTTTTCAACCCCCCTTCTGCCCCAAATATAAGATCTTGTAAGACAAGCATGTCAAACTCAAAGTCTAGCATGGGCCACATAATTAAAGCTTAAGTTTATGTGGGCCGCAAAAAAACCCAACTACTTAAATCTTCAGAGAAACGTAGGTTTATTTTTATACCGCACCCCCTCTACTAAATCCCAGTCACCCCATTTACTAAATCCCAGTCCTCCCCTATACTAAATCCCAGTCCTTCCCCCCCTCTACTAAATCCCAACACCCCCCTCTAGCCAACAAGCAGACTCCACTTACATTGCCGCTGCCAGTATGCGACTCCGGAGTCCGGCCTCTGGTATTCCCCAAAAGGCACCGTCCGCACTCTGTGCCAAAGTGGATACTTCCGCTACTTCTTAAAAACTCTGTGAAGGTGGAGCATGTCGACTTCACGTCAAAATGAAACGTGGCGTGCCTCCATGCACCTCCAGGTCAAAACACTGATCGACACACACTCACTGACAGAGACACACACACAGACAGACCCACTCACTGACAGACATACACACTCACTGACAGACACACACAGACATACACACTCACTGACAGACAGACATACACACACTGACAGACACACACACACACTGACAGACACACACACACACACTGACTGACAAAAACCTGGACATGGGGCACATCATTGTATTTGTCCGACATCACAGCATAATCACCTGGGTCCAGCTCTGATGTCCCTCGATGCTGGTTAAGCTCCGCCCACGCTCCTCCCCCACCAATGTCCACCGATGGGGGAGACCTAATGAGCATGAGCGGAAATGACCGCGCTCGCATTAGGATTTCCCCATAGGAAAGCAATGAATGCTTTCCCATGGGGATTCCGGCGATGCTGGAAGTCCTCGTGCATAGCATGAGGACGTCCAGTGTCGTTTAGGCGACCAAAAGTCTCTTCAAGCCAAGAAGTCCCTCTAGTGGTTGTCTGGTAAAGAGCCACTAGAGGAGGAGTTAACCCTAGCAGGTAATTATTGCAGTTTATAAAAACTGCAATAATTACCACTCTAGGGTTAAGGGTGATGGGAGTTTGCACCCAGGCCACCTTAATGAGCTGAAGTGGTCTGGGTGCCTTCAGTGTCCCTTTAAAATGCCATTCAGGATTTGGAAAATAACAAACTTTCCTAATTTCTCACACTTTTTTTTTTAGATTTTATTCATAATAAATTATGCTTCATATAAAAATATTTGATGTGAAATAAAACCCTATTTCTCTTCTCCTGAAGAAAATTATACACAATAAGCATGGGTGCACCTAATATGAAAGAGGTAAACTATGGTTGAACAGATTTATAGCTTGTTTCAGAACATGGACAATTGCCTCCTCCCATAAGGGGTTAATAAGATGCATTTTATCGACACAGATTTTCATTTTAAACACAATTTATTGTATTTTAAAGACATATTCAATCATGTGAGTTTCTGTGAAGCTCTGTAATACACTCACTCCTAAAAACCTACCTTTTTGCTGGTTCCTGTCCCTTTATAACAGTGCAGTGATGCTGTTGGTCTGGTAACAATTGCTGCACCAGCACTACTTTACCCACTGCAGTATATGTCCCCACAGTGCAGTACTGACAACCCTGTGATTTTTTGTTTTATTTTTTGAGTTCAGCCAATGCTATAAGCAGAAGGTAATCTGAGGTGAAACTGAGGTTTACTGAGGTGAAAGAACAAAGAACTGTCAATTCTATGGAAGTGACAGTTCCTCTTAACAAATCCACACGGGGCCTTAGAGGGGCACCATTAGGTGGCAAAGGCAGCCGCCTTAGGGGGCACCGGCCCTGTGGGCGCAAGATCCTGCTGACCAGCAGGAGGGGACATCCAGTGTCAGGAAAATACCCATAGGAGGGCATACAGATCTGCATTACTAGCACAATAGCATCTCTTTAAACTGGATATGAAAAAAGTATCTGGTTTTATTTATTAATTTTTACATATTTTACATTATTGAAAAAAAAAACTGAATTTGTCAATTCCAGCCTGAAGTGCTCCTTTAAAAAAGGCTTTCGTCCTTAAAGAAATAGCAAATCTTCATTTAATCTAAAATCTTTTAAGAGATCTATTGCATTATACCTCAATACAGAATGCACCTGTCATGGTTGAATATATTTATTACCTGTTATGTATTATATTTATATATGTGTGTGCATATATAGTTTGTATATTGTACTCTATTGTAGCAATGCAATGTTTTGTGTACAAAGACCCAACACATACTTGAAAACGAGAGATATCTAAATGTATCCATCCTGGTAATATCTATTATAAATAAATAAGGTGTTGGGGTTTTTTGTGAAGACAGAACACTTTCACTCTGACAGCCATAGATCTAGTGTCACACCTGAGCCATGTGTTTTGACAGAAGGAGCTGTCACAGTTGTCACATGCTCCTGGCTGGCATTACTCAATGTTTTATTATCAGAGCAGCCAATGCTGAGTGTCATGGAAAGTACCGAGTATCTCCCCCGCCCCTAACCCTGTATAAAGGTCATGTTTACTGTCTGAACACGTTATCAGCTGATGTTATAAATACACTTGGTCAGTAACAAACACAACCAGCTCCAGGGGATCGAACAGGGGGAGATAGAGGCAGAATCAGAGAGAACGTCGGGTCACGTGACAGTTTAAAGGTCCCGGGGCTGTCACAGATCACGTGACTGACTGGAAAGGTCTCAGTCCAAGTGCTTCCCGGTGACAGGGCTGAGAGCTCCCGGGGGCCCCTAGCTGAGAGACCGACGCTATGAGTTTCCGGTGGCCCTAAGCTGTGAGATCCGGGGGCCCCAGCCCATGGAGTGTGAGCGGATGGACAGCCTGGAGGGCTGGGTGGCCGTGCGCCCCAATGCCTTCGAGGAGGCCGAGCCGTACAAGCTGGGGTTCATCGTGGCCTGGAACCACGTGGAGAGCAAGTTCGCCGTCACCTGTCACAACCGGACCGTGCAGCGCCAGCGGGGGCGGCGGGAGCCGGGCGGGGAGCAGAGCAGCTGGGCCGGACTGTACTCGGTGGAGGACCTGCAGCACATCCACCGGCAGCTGAGCTCGGTGTGCAGCCAGCTGGAGCCCTGCTTCCCCGGCCTGCCCTCCCCGGACCCCCCGGACAGCCTGTGGACGCTGCTCTTCCCCGGGGCCCCGTCCTGGCATGGCTCCCGGGAGGAGCTGGACGGGGTGTGCCGGACCCTGGAGCGCTACCTGGGCACCGCCATCGAGCAGTGCGGCCGCAGGATCGTGCTGGAGCTGCTCTTCCCGGACCACGAGGAGGACTGCGAGCGATACTTCGAGAACATGCACGAGTTCCGCAAGAAGAGCCTGGAGGAGCAAGTGACCCGGGCCAAGGAGGAGCTGCGCACGGTGCGGAGCACACAGGGGCCACAGCATGTGCCAGGGCACAACTACAGCTCCCAGCATGCTTTGCTACTCTGAGGGGCAGTAGCTGTACCCCAGTTACCCCTGGGATAGGTATAGCATGTTGACACTCCTGCTGGGGACTGCAACTCATGTGATGATCAGCCAGCAACATGGCTCTCTTGAGCATTGTAGTAGTTATAGTGCTTCACAGCATGAGTGTCAAAATGAAATATCAAATCTTTTACCAAGTACTGATTATTGTTTAAAGTCTGATTGTTAAAATTAACCTTAAAGGGAGAGATCTGCTGTTTTGTGTAGAATGTTCAGAAAATCCACATGTAGCACAGACGGACAGAGTACTGCTCCTTTTTAGTAAAGGGATGCTTCTAATCTTAAAGATGGGATTGACAGCTTAGTTTATTCAGCTCTTCGGTGTAGCTTCCTGTCCTAAAGAAATAGAAATATGTTCTTTGCCCCTACCACTCACACCATGTCAGTAAAAAAAGTCTAATTTAATAAATATCTAGAACCTACTATGTTGACATGTGAGCTGTAAAAGCTGTATTTTCCACGGAATGTGAACATGAGTGAAGTTGCAATATATTGTCTGTTTCTAAGAAACTAACTTCCTGATTGTAATCCGTTTTACTTTCAATATTTACAACCAAACCGGTGTGTGTGTTTATTTTTTTTTTTTTATCCATTTAGTTTGCTAGTAGACATTGCATACAAAGTAATACATGTAGAAATCATACAGATGACCAAAAAACTCCCCTTTGAAATCCCTCTACTTGTGGCACAGCCCTTTGAACTCCCACAGAATCAGGAAGTGGGTCACTAATGATGAACTGTTAAAAGAGCGATTTAAGCATTGCCACTACAGCTTGGTGTTGTAGATCTGGGGGGAAAGCTGATATGGGCACAGGATCAACTCTTAAATGGATTTCCATGAAGTGGTGCTTCTGTTGTGAGTATAACAGACCATGGAATGGGGCGCGGGGTTATCTATTAACGTGAACCTGATCAGACAGGTTCACTTTACGATTAAGTGATTTTGGTGCTCAGTGTAACATTAAAGAGGAACTGTCACACTATTCCAAATCCTTAAATGAATCCATGATGTTCATCATTTGAGATTCGTTCAATCCGCCTTTTCAAACCCATCTCTGCTAACTCTGCTGTTATCTATCGTCCCACTGGTTACCAACTTCTCTTCCTTGACCACTTTGCTGCCTGGATTCCTTACTTCCTCTCCGCTAACATTCCATCTGTAATTCTCAGAGACTTCAACATTCCCATTAACCCACCCATGTCCCCAGCAGCCTCAAAACTACTTTGTATTACCTCCTCCGTTGGGCAATCACAGTGGGCTAATTCCCCCACCCATGTAGATGGCAATACTCTAGACCTTATTTTCACTCATGAATGTACAGTCTCTCAACATCTGCAACACTCAATTTCCTCTCTCAAATAATAATCTCCCATCATTTGCTCTCAATAGCCCACTCCCCCAAAAACCTTAGCCTAACCCACCTCAGAAGGAATCTGAGTTCTATAAACCTGCAGCAGCTGCCAGCTGATATTGATTACCAACTATTATCCATTCCTGCTTACTCATGTCCCTCACTGGCTATCTCCTCATATAACACTCTACCCTTGCTGCATCCCCTCTCCAAATACGTACCTCGAGGAGGATACACCCCCCAACCGTGGCACACTAAATCAACACGCTACCTGCAGAGATGTTCCCGTTCTGCTGAACGCTGCTGGAGGAAGGCTCACACAGAGTCAGACTTTCTACACTACAAATTCATCTTGCATTCATACAGCAAAGCCCTTACCCTTGCCAAACAGTCATACCTTTCTTCTCTTATTAGCTCATGCTCTCGCAATCCCAGGCGTCTTTGATACCTTTTAACCCTCTACTTTGCCCTGCTACGGCCACGACCCAAACCAATCTTACAGCTGATAGTTTTGCATGCTACTTTACTGACAAGATTGAACAGCTAAGGAAAGAATTCTCACCACCATGCCCCTCACTTTCTCAACCACAACTGATCATGCCCCTCCAACCCTTCTGACCTTCTCCCAGGCTACTGAACAAGAGGTGGCTGCGCTTATCCGTTGTGCTTGCCCCAACACTTGATCCTGTCCCGTCTCTCCTTATCAGATCTCTCTCCTCTTGTCTTGTGCCCTCCTTAACACACATCTTCAACTGCTCTCTTTATTCTGGCACTGTCCCTGCTGTCCTTAAGCATGCTACTGTAGTACCCATCTTAAAAAAAATTCTTGACCCATCCTCCCTTTCTAACTATAGTCTTATATCCCTGCTTCCTTTTTCCTCAAAGCTTCATGAAAGACCAGTCTTTACCCGTCTGGCCTGCTTCCTCAACTCCAACTCTCTCCTTGACCCTCGTCAGTCCGGCTTCCACCCCCTCCACTCTGAGACTGCCCTTATTAAAGTCACTAACGACATTATCACAGCTAAATCCAAAGGCCACTACTCCATATTAATTCTTCTTGACCTCTCTGCTGCCTTTGACACTGTTGACCATGTTCTCCTTCTCCAAACTCTTCAATCACTCGGTGTCTGTGACTCTGTCCTCTCGTGGTTTTCATCCTATCTCACCCAAAGCTTATTCAGTGTCTCCTTTTTTTAATGACACCGCCACCATTCGTCCTGTCTCAGTTGGAGTCCCCTAAGGCTCTGTCCTTGGTCCCCTTCTATTTTCTCTTTATACTGCCTCTCTTGGCAAACTTAGTACCTGTACGCTGACCCAGATATATCTCTCCTCCCCGGACCACTCCCCTGATGTCCTGCAATGTGTCACCTATTGCCTTTCTTCTATCTCTGATTGCATGTCTTCACACTTTCTGAAACTCAATCTTTCCAAAACAGATCATCTTGTTTTTCCTCCTCCTCTCACTCTCCCTTCAGATTGGTGGTACCCATATCAGCCCATCCTTACAAGCATGTTGTCTTGGTGTTACTTTTCAATTCTGGTCTCACCTTTGAGCCTCAAATCCGGTCTGTTGTCAAATCATGCTAATGCCACCTTAAAAACATTGCCTACATCCACCCCTTTCTTACTCAAGATGCTACTAAAGAGCTTGTCCATGCTCTAGTAATCTCTCACATGGACTATTATAACTCTCTCCAATAGCCGTATTGCCCCGCTACAGTCTGTAATGAATGCTACTGCCAGACTGATTTTCCTCTCTAGTCGGTTCTCTCACACCTCACCCCTCTGTCAGTCCTTTGATTGGCTTCCTGTATCCAATAGGAGTCAATTTGAAGTGCTAACCCATACCCATAAAGCACTGAGCAATTCTAACCCCTCCATCTCCTCACAGATCCATAGGTATGCCCCTTCTCGGTCTCTCCGCTCTGTCCGTGACCACCTCCTGTCTGCTGCTCGCACCCGTATGGCCAACGCGTGCTTGCAGGACTTCTCGCAGACGGCTTCCTTCCAATGGAATAACCTGCCTACCGCCATCAGACTATCCCCTAGTCTTCAGTCCTTTTAGAAGTGCCTTAGGTTTGTGTGCGAGAGCACCGATTGGCTTCATCCAATGTTCTCGTACAGCAGCACATGTAAGATAGTCTTCAAAGTAAAAACCATTATACCACAAGTATTTGTATTTTTAATTTATATGGTCCAGTCTGAATTTTCCCTTATCAGCTCCAGCCTGTATTTTTCCTTTAAGTTGTTTCCTATAATATTAATGTCTATATTGAGACTTTCTTGCAATTATGGTGCTTCCCCTTGGACATGAATCTAGTCCTCTTTGGACATCATTAGTGCAAGTGCTAGGGAGAGATGATTCGTATCAACAAATGCTTTAATTGCGTCATTCTCAACCAGAAATATGCAGGGGTGTTGCTAGGTGACCAAAAGACCTGCAGTGTCAGCCCAAGAGTAAATTTTACAGCCTCTCCCCAAATCCCACTGTGCTCTATGTCCAATTCTAACATGTTTTATGAGTCCTGATAAGGCTCTGTCTCTGTTATTTACTCAAGTGAGAACTTCCGGGGAATTCAAAGTGAATTATAAATGGCCAAAATAGCCAAACTAAACACCATATTTACTATGATAATTTTTCGATATCTGCTATAATGGCCTATATTGTTTAATTTCGAATTCCCAGCAAATTGCACTTTTAGTGAATAACCCTGTAGATCTTTGTATTATTTCCTAAACCATTATTGATAACTTCACGCCTGCTATATTAACCCAGTCTTGCAGCATTAAACCTGCACCAGTACCCCCCATAATGTACGGTATAATAAAGTCCAGATATGGAACATTAAAGTGGCACTGCCACAAATTAGATCATTGGCGGTGTTATTTCTCTCTAAAAATTACAGAGGAATGAACAGTAAAAAGCTGCTAAAATCATACTTTTTCAGAACTCCAGCCTGGGTCATCTCACCCACCCCCTAGCAACACAACTGAGCTATTACATTGTACATATGGCTGTCTTGACACAGCGGCTGTCTACATACAATATGTGACAGTGCACACTTGTGGTATTCTAGAGAGAGTAATGATCATCTTTGTTGCCTGTTAATACATCTTAGGTCATTTTAGCAGATCCCCATCAATATGTTTTGTTTTTATATTAGAAGTTTGTTAAAAAATATACGGTTGAAACATCCCATCTAAACTTTCTTTAGAGCTTCCCATGATATAATAATTCCATGTTGTGTGGATACTAAGATCAGTGTGTTCTTTACTGATGCAAATTAATAGACACCAGACAGGTATATGTACTAAAATGTGCATTGCTTGGAAATTAAAGAGAATTTTAAAATGTATGCGAAAAATCAGTCAAGGCTGACTTGGATAATTTTTCCAATTGAGCTATTTTGGTTGAAATTAGAAATGTAATTTTAATTTCAGAAGTATACTCTTCAGTGAATATACAACTCTGCGGATGTTGTAAATTACTGTAGCAGCACCATATTCCATATCTGGGTAACTGGCAAAAAAGCTGATGTAGTAAGTAATATTTGTGAATGGTACGCAGTATTTAAGAGTATAAATAATAGTGATGCATTATGCTGGACAAGAATGACTGTGGTGAAATCTATTTATATACTTGCTTTCCCTCCTCTTAGATTCTTCATCAGCACTTAAAGTCAGACAAAATGATGTCTTTGCTCAAACTTTATGAAGCAGAAGATGAGGCGTTTATGGAATTAGTTACCGTGGCAACCCAATTCTACCAATATCAACTGCAGCCTTTCAGGGATATGCGAGAGCTGGCTATATTATACAAGCTGGAAATCCTGGTAGGGAATTATTTCCTTTTATCTGTTATTATTACGCTTTTCTATTGGAAATCCGTGTGGGTTTTTGTTTACAGAGCAGTTTGAACCAATTATAGTCAGAATGATTTATTAACTCTGGCTTGCTTTTGTTTAGTGCCTGATCTACTATGCAAGCCAGGCCTTCCTTTTCTCATCTTTGGTGTGTTTGTGCAAAATCTAAAATTCTTTCAGCCTTGACAAGTGTTCTTTCAGACTGGTGTGCAATCAATTTCTTTATTCCCCCACTCTCTTAATAGAAGGTATCACTTTTATTGTGACTAACCAGTAGTCAGTATTGTCAGTGGATAATGTAGCGTACTAGCAAACAGTTAAAGGTAGGTGTGAAATGCCGCAGTAGTAAATTGAATTGCACAGCCCAGGAGCCCTGCCATCTCAGTATGTACATATTGTTTCATTTTATCCCCATGCTTGTGTAGCTATACATAGTGTTTTTTCAGTGACCTGTTCTGTGTGCTCAAGGACATATATGAACACACTGATTTGTTGTATTTACATGCCCTGCAAAACATGTTCCGTCTATGCAAGCGAGGGGTCAGTATGTAAACATGGTTTATATTCTGTGCATTTGTAACTTTTGTTTCCTAGAAATCCCTGGAAATGGATGATTTGGGACCTAAAAGAATTGAAGCTCTGCAGAAAGAGGCAGATAAGTGGAATGCAAGAGCAGAGGAAGCTGTGTGCTCCATACAGACTGTGACTGTCAGCTACTTCAAAGAGACTTCAAAAGCCCTGGCAGGTAGGCCGATTTGAGGGGTTTCTGACGTTTTGTTTAATTTATTATTGTTTTGGATTTTTTTCCATCTAGTGAAGCTGCAAACGATGTGGTATGAATTTGAATGGGATTTTTATAGTTGTATTATATATGTATTTTATCCCACTTCGTAGGATAAAAAAATATTTTATTTTTTTACTTCAACCGTTTGTTAGATGGGCCCCCTGGGGAGGAAAAAAGTGTTGTTTTTTTTGTTTTGTTTTTTTCTGTCACACTTTTGGGGGGTTATGCAAAAGCTAGCTTGTATTATATGCTCAATTAATTTCTGCAGCTACTGTATACCCTCACCTTTGTGCGCAGGACAGACAATCCCATCTATCGAAGACATTGTCCGATCTGAGAAAAAAAACAAAAACTGACCAATCATACACTTCCCGATGAGCTTTATTACAGCCTATTGATAAGTGTATGAATAGCAAACACTGAGATCACGGCAGCACCTCAAATCCATTTTGAATTATTGTTCCAAGTAAGCAAAGCAGGAAACTCTTTAGGCTATCAGACAGCCGGGAATGTTTAACAAAGGTGTTTTATAAAACTGCACATTTCTCCTCCAATCAACCTTTTTATAAAATGAGCTTGCAGGGACAGACTATTTAATACTATAACCCTCCAGGAAGCAGATGTGCTTGGAGTGTTTCAAAATCTTCTCCATCACACTCACACCCATTTTCCTTGTGAGCCTTTCTGTTTTAGCAAGTCAAAGCCAGACAGACATTCCCAGTTAAGGCAAATAGATTTAGTAAATTATCATTTTGGTAAGTCCTTTCAAAAACTCTTTGCTGTGCCCAGCAGTTTAGCATTAAATTGGATCTTTTTATTCCGGCTTCTAGACAACAAAGAAGCCTTTTGTGTTCCATATATGGAGTGCTTTACAGTATCCGTGATTGTTTTACTTTTTTTTTTATATATATATATATATCCTTAATAGCCATGCACAAACAAATGGAGCTGGATGCTAAGAGGTTTGGCCAAACCACGTGGGCCTCTGCTGTGCCGAGGCTGGAGAGGCTAAAATCCATTTTGGCAAAGGAAACACTCCAACATATGAGATCAAAGGAGCTCTGTCTGAACCAGAAGAGGGCAGAGATCAAGAAAAAGGTAAAACACATTATATAAGATGAAGAAATAGGCTGCACTGCTCAAAAACACATTTCATTTTTTTACATCTTTTACATGATGCGTAGATGGAGTAAACTCTGAAAACTGTGAACTATAAAGTTTTGACTCCGTTAAAGGAGAAGCATAATTTCCCTGGATTTTTAAGATCCACATTCATAAACTGCTACAAGTCACTACCTGGTCCCTAAAGTAATTTTATAGTAGTATCGCATGCTCTACTTATTTTGCATTTTAGCTCTATACAGCCGTGCAGTGGTTAAATGAGTAGGACATTCATTATTGATCTAGAAGGCGGTTTTGTTATGAGGTATATTTGTATCACTTATTTTGCGTATTTATATGGCGCCAGCATGTTCCGCAGCACTTTGCAATGATAGAATGTGGATATTTGTCAACAAGTAATTGAAATATCAGAGGTGAAGAAGACCCTGCTCTAAAAAGCTTACATTTGTCACGGCACAGAGGCGTGTTCCTATGTGCTCGGTATATTTAACCCAAGATGCTGCCTCCATCCTTCCTCCATGTGAGCTCTCCTCCTACTGTCGTCTTGTCCAATGCCGGCAGCTGCATATCAGAGCCTTTTTATGGCCAGGTTGACGCATGGACATCCGTGCGCCATTCCATCAATGGCACACATGTCATAAGGGTCACATGAACCAATATCTGCCAACTTAAAGCTGTACGTACCCACACTAGCTGTTATACTGTGCCATGTCATGGTTTCCTTTTACTGATTATTAGAGAGTGTGTTTTCTAAAGTTTATTTATCTGACCCCAACATATATTGACCATTTGTTACTCTCTGATCTTTGTCCATCTTTTACTATTCTATATAGCTTTAAGATAACAAAAAATAAAGTATATAAAGGCGGCTCAATTCCCTCTTAAAATATAATATCAATTTAATAAGCAGCTTATCACTTCCAAGTGTTTCTCCTAACACCAATTAAAGAAACAAAAACAAATGTAAAATGTAGTATAACGCTTCAATAAAAAAAACAATATTTAAACACTTTGTGTACATAAAGTTGCACCTTAATTATAAAGTGCTTGTGTATAGTCAGAAATTAATATTATCATCAATATTGGTATTTATATAGTGCCAGCTTATTCCGCAGCGCTTTACAATAAAAGGGGAATTTACCAAATAAGACAATAACAAAATGTAACAGGAACAATAGGTAGTTGGGGACCCTGCTCAAACGAGCTTAAATTTGTGGGAATACACAAGCTCCTCATAATTGAGGTGTAAATGTATGTACACAAAATGTTTAAATATTGATTTTGAATTGCTACACTACATCTTAAATCGTGCTATTTTATATAGCATTAAATCTGACCATTCCAAGGCCTGGTAATATGCTTTTAGTATCCTGTAAGTTGTTCATTTGAGTACTGCGTGTTGGGTCTAAGTCAATCTGGACAACAATCTGATCCTTAGAAGGTTAGTTGATCTTTGTTTGTGATTTTTAAAAAAATTTAAATGTAGGAATCCTGCTGAATGTCAACACCGACATCTTATCTGTCAATCACTACCCCCTCTGACATGCTGTCGTAGATTGTAAGCTTGTAAGCGCAAGCCCTTCTTCAATTCTTGTTGTGATGTCATTTGTTAAAACCTTCATATACATTTAAAAGAAAGGTCCAGCATTACATGGGATAAAAATGAATTATATGATATTATTAGTGTTTTGTTGGCACACTTCCCATAGAAATTATGGTTCCCCGTTAATACAACTTTTGGATAAAGTGTGTCTACTTCAAAATATATTGCTTTTATTAATGTAGCTTGCAGAAATCTTCTTTTGTTTTGAGATAACACTATTGCAATAATGTTCTAATAATCCATAGGTTTTCCAGTTAGTGTTTATTTATATAGCATTAAACATCTTCTGCACTACTTATACCCAGAGATAAGTAGTATTGTAGTGTTTTGTTTCCCCCCCATGTATATTTTAAAGTATTGCATGCTTGAATCTACAGATGGGAAACCTCATTGAAATGGAGGATGCCATGGTGATGGTTGATGAGCTGGAGTTACGCTTCTATGAAACGCAGTTAGAGCTCTATCATGTTCAGTTTGAGATCCTCAAATATGAAGAGATGTTACTTGTGGCAGAGCTGAACTCGCTGAGGAGACAAATGAAAGGTGAGATTGGTTCATTCACACTGAGCTGTGCGATGTATAACCACATGCTTGGAAAAAACAAAACAACCAGCCTTGATGGTTACTATGCATGTTTATTAATTCTATGTAGAAAGACCATGCCATTGTCCTGGTGTCCTTTCCTCTTTCTTACATGGTGTTTGCTTGTTGAAAGATAAGTCATTGGTAATAAAACACTAGCTGAAGACCGGTAGGAAGAATTATGTTTCTTTAGCTAATGACAAGGTACTCTCTGTTCTGTAGATCAGTGACATTTGACTTGTAACTCTTCCGTTGTTGTGGAACAGCACCTAGTCTGATGCGTGGCCTTAGACACACTCCTATAGCTTCTCAATTGACCTCCAAGCTTGATCAGTTTTGTCATTGCAGGAGCTGCTCAGTTAGTGTGCGCACACAACACATTGCCCTGCCCCTCTGGTCAGCTAGTGCTGTGTGTGTTCTCGGAGCACAATCTAGATGTCACTGTATAGCATCACTGGGTAGGCGTGTGAAACTGGACTATGGTGCTTGGAGGGTCCTTTCTAATATTAATATTACCATCTTCAATACAGAATTCCATATTGTATATTGTTTCAGAAAAGCAAGAAGAGGTTATTTATTATGATACTTGTGAAGACCCACAAGAGCTACAGGTTTATGACCAGTCGCAGAACAATCTCTCGTCCATGACACTCAAGAGAAAGGCCCAGCAACTCGAAACCAAACGAGGAAATATCTGTGCAAGGCGAGCGCTTCTGAGGAACAAAAAAGTATGTCCCTGTTTTCCATTTAGCCTTCACGAATTTCTATTTAATGCCATTTCAACAGTGATTTCAAGTGTCTATTGGTGTGCTAGACTGATAATCTTCCAACAGATCTTGCTTGTCGTTCTGAAGAATAGCAATTAAGTTTACACACTTTTTTTTTTTTTTTTTTTACAAACTCATATTTATGATGGGAATGTGACATTTTGTCTGCGTGAACTGATTTAAATACTACAAAAAGCAATAAAGCCTAAAATAATAAAATGACAGTGATCTCATCCAAGACAATGTTTTTGATAGAAATGTCAGATTTTTATTTTGAAAATTTGTCAGGATCTGCAGCTTTTTCAATTTGAAATCTTCCATGAGCAGCTAAGAGAGTTGGTGTTACGGGACGATTTTTGTTTACTGAATGTTACATAGTAATCAAGGTTTAAAAAAAAAGGCCACCGAGTTTGATCTTTGAAGCAGGACATAGTGTATTTTCAAAATAATAGAAAATAATAGATTGTGTTTTTAAAATAATCCACTTTTGCAATTTAAAAAAAAATAAATTGTTTAAAACTATTTTCTGAGCACATTTGCTACAGTTTAAAGACATTATTGTGAGTTTTATTTCTGTTGAGCTTGTTGTAAGCTGTTTAACAACTGACTTATTGATATGGAGCTCTCTGATAAACTGCTATAAATTCATACATTGCTACTGTAGGATCTCTGTGATACAAACACATAAGTGCTTCCTCACTATCTTTTTTATTTTTATTTATTTTTTTAAAAAATTTTTGCCTTGATGCTCTGATGCAAAGCCATACCAAACAATCTGAACTCCTTTAATCCCTTAAGGACACATGACATGTGTGACATGTCATGATTCCCTTTTATTCCAGAAGTTTGGTCCTTAAGGGGTTAAAGAAAATGACTATGGTAGAAAATAGGAAGGAAGAATTTGAAAGTCTAAGTATTAAAATGAAAGACATACTCAAATGCGACATGTCCTTTAAGCTTCCTACCTAACCCGTTTTTCTCCTTACATGAAAGTGACATTCTGGGTTAGGAGATATTGCTTATCTATTGCATTCCAATAGTGGTAAACCAGACTATTGTGTTTTTAAAAAATAATAATGACTAAAAAAAATACAGTGTAATCCTGAATGTTTCTCTTTTTATTAAAGAGGAATCAAATAAACATTGTTGCAGTACATCACTTTATTATGTTTTGTTTAAAGGACCAGTGTGTGGAAACGCAGGAGCTGAAAGCAAAGCAGTTCGAAGAATCGCAGAAGCGCCATTTTCAGCATCATTCTATACAGATGGTGGGTACCACGAGGAATAATATTTCACTTTGTCTTATGACTGCCCCAGTACTTCTGTACAGTTGTCTAAACCATTCAAAGCCTGTGTGGGAGCCTTTATAACAGGTGTTCATTTCTCAATAGAAACGAGACCAGAAGAAAGAAGAAACAAAAAAGAATAAAGAATGGTTGGATCAGGAGCGTCAGAAGACTTTACAGCGTTTAAAATCCTTTAAAGATGTGAGTGTTAAAGCCCATGCATTGAAGCTGTTTGTGCCTGATCCATTGAGAATTAAACGTTTTCATTGTGAATGAATGAGTTCACAGGGAGGAGGGGGTGAGATGATTGATTTGAGTAATACATCTGACTGTAACATTTTTCTTTCTTGTAGAGAAATGACTCACAGTCTGTATTAAAGACATCTCATATACAATCCCGTTTTACTTGTAAATCACAAGGAATAAATAAAGCCATAAAGCAGCCACGTGACCCACCAGATATAGCGGTGCAAATTTTTGTTGCAAAGACTGGACCTGAACCTGGATTTACGAGCAATGAAAACTGTAAACCAGAACTGCACTTTCCTCCACCCCCAATACTGCCACCTCCACCGCCCCCACCTCCACCGCCCCCACCACCTCCTCTCCCTGCCCTTCCCTTGCTACATAATGTTCCACAGACCTCTAACCCATGGCACAACAAACCTCAAATGTTAAGTGACAAAGCTGAACATGACGTGTCTTCAATAACACACAAAATGCCTGTGAACCAATATTCAGGTAAGATATGCTACATTATAGCCATAATACAAACTTCTGTTGCTCTTTCCTGAAACGTATTCTGCGAGAAAGCATCTTTGAAAGATTTTTCACCATTCTGTTTATCGTTTGTTATTTTTGGCACTAGGCAGTGTCCCTAAGTTGGTGGTATGTCTAATCACCTCATTCATAACCTCTCCCTGTTTTGGAACATGCCAATTGCTCTGATTTAACCTGGTAGCAGAGTGCAGATAATTAACTTAGCCAGTTTCTCATAAAGCAGATTAAATTACCTCACCCGTTCTCTGCAGCTAATGTAAGGGCAAATTATTTTTTAAAAATGGCTTATTTGCCCTTTCAGCTATCCGTTGGCTATTTGCATTCCTGTACAGTTGTATTTTTATGTTTTAGTTACGGACAGGGTGATCCAAACCTCTTGAAATCTAGATATTGTCGCATTCTTTTTACTTCTACAATTTTTCCCCCATAATGTATTGAATTATCCCTATTTTGAGTAAGGGATATATATGTTCAATAAGCTAGTTATGCATGTTTTTCTAGGTTCAATGGAAGAGGTATTGGCTTCACTGAAACGGGGTGAAAATAATCTTCGTAGGGTGGAACAGCCATTGCCATCTATGAGTGATGCTCGAGACAACATCCTGAGTGCTATTCGACAAGGAGTCAAACTTAAGAAAGTTCAAAGAGACAAAACTGACAAGGAGCCGGCGAATGAACTTGAAAAGAGCATTAAGGCTGCCATGTTGAGAATGAAAAAGGTGTCCGCAGACTCGGATGATGAAGAAAAAGAATATGTTAGCGGCGAATGGGATACTTAATGGGTCATCCAATGAACTACTGATAATCATATTCAACCTCATCCCCACCATGTCAACCTGCTACTTTCAATTAAATGTCACCGCTCTGTTGTGATGCAGCTTAAATGGACTGCTCATTATATATTTTTATGTATTTTAGAGCATATCGAATTACATTTAAATTTTTTTTATTTTTTTTAGGTAACTTTTACATTTCTGGCACTGAGTGAGCAAAAACACTACTTTTTATATATTTTACTTAACTGCTACCTGGCTTAATTTAACAAAAAGAACAAGTGTTCTTTTCATAATTGTTATTTTTCTGGTATTTAAACAAACATTTATATTGGTGTGCCCAATAAAAATGATAAATTTATAAGAGGTGTGCCCTCTTCTGTTCTGTCTGTTGCCCTCTGTTTGCAGCATATTTGTTAGGCTTTGGAAGCAATAAGACTGATTTTGTCAGCTAACAAGAAATTAAAGGACTAATAAAGGCACCCAGACCACCCATTCAACTCAATGAAGTGGTCTGGGTGCAGTGGCCCTTTAATTTTAACGCTGCAATGTAAAACCGTGCAGTCTTGTTGAAATTGCAATGTTATTTTTCAATTGCAGGGATAAAAACACACACTTCTAGTGGCTGTCTTCATGACCAGGTAGAGGTGAAGGGCAGGAGTTGTGATACCTGCTGTAGGCTGCTCTATTCCAGCGCGGATTCCCGTTCTGTGTGTGTTTGTATGTATATGTGTGTGTGTATGTATAATCACACACCACACCCTACCCCACTGTGTGTGTGTGAGAATTTGGAGGGATTGTGTGTGGGGTTAGGGGGACAGATTAGTAAATAGCCCCCCTCCCTTCCTAGCTTTTGCCTGAGAGGGGGGATCCTTGCTGCCATCTCTAGTGGTCCTAGTGTGAGTGAGTTCACTCTCGCGAGATATGAGCGTTGCTGGCAAGAGCTCCTCATGTCCTCTCCTGCCTCGCTCCCTGCCTGTGGGCTGGTGAGGGAGATCTCTGATCTCCCTCACTGGCCCATGGAGGCACACAGTGCAGGCTGCGGGGATTAGGGTGTGCCCAGGCACACCCGTGCGCATGCCTATGCCTGATCTATACACTAAAACTGCTTCATTAAAGGGACACTATAATCACCAGGACAACTACAGCTTAATGTAGTTCTGGTGAGTATAATCATTCCCTGCAGGCATTTTCATGCAAACTCTGTCTTTTCAGAGAAAAGGCAGTGTTTACATTGCCCCAAGGGACACTTTCAAGTGGCCACTCCTCAGATGGCCACTGGAGGTGCTTCTTGGCTCAGTGCTGCACAGTAGACAGCTCTGCCATTCAGTGGAGACGCTAAATTTTCCTCAGAGATTCATTAATTCAATGCATCTCTATGAGGAGGTGCTGATTAGCCAAAACGGTGTTTGGCCCCACCCCATGGGAAAGCATTGGATTGGCTAAAAATCTGCAATTCTGATGTCACCAAGGGGGTGGGACCAGTGCAGCGGACTCACACGGCGCTGGAAATAAGGACAGTTTTTCATGCTTTAAGTGGGGCAAGCCACCTTAATGGTGGGTTTTGCACTATAGGGTCAGGTATACATGTTTGTGTTCCTGACCCTATAGTGTTCCTTTAACTATACTTGATTTAGTACAGAGTGTTTCTTTTAAACTGTGGTGAACTAAAAACGGATTATTAGAATTGAGGCTATAATATCCACAATTTGAGCTATTATTTTTCCCTACTTCACTCCCCCTCCTCCATGCGCATGTGCTTTGTTCTCTGGAAGGGGTTGGGGGGAACCTGCTTTGTTCTCCTTACTACAGAAAATATTTCAATAGCATTGAGTCAAATGAGGAAATGTCACCATTAGAAAAATGTCTTATTTTTTAAAAATGTAACCATTTTAAAAGTTGTCCCCACTACCCCCTTTTGTTTAAGCAAAGCTCTGCCAGTGGTGGATCAAAGTTCCGTCGGAATATCTAGTTCATTGTAATGTCTTCAGTCCGTAATATAAACTAGATAAATTGACCTGTACTGCTATATCAAAATCCCTATATTCTTCTGTAAAAAACAATGATGTTAATCAGTGGAGCACAAGCAGTTAAAAAAACAAAACAAAGTTATCCGCTTATTCACTTATAATTCCTGCTGCCTGTCATAGTCCTAGTCTCATGATACCCGCTTAAACCTTCCCAGAGTCACCACTCACTCATCTAGGCCGATTCAACATGATGCTAATATTTAAAGAGGACCTGTCTTCTAAATGTTCTACATCAACACCTTTATTTGTAAACAGGTGTAAATGTATTTATTTTTAATCATCCAAACACAAGTCAGAGGACCTTGTAATAATTTAAACGATCACCCTCTTACTAGGTTAAAGTGGCACGGTGACCAAAAATGTAAGTGTTTGATAAAGATAAAATCTCTACTCATCTCATTTCTACTGTTGACTGCTTTGGAATTTTAATGAAGTTCTAACACAATGAAAAGACTCAAGACAAAGTAGGCAGTTTCAATAAGATTCAAAACTTGACAAAACGTAGATAAACTTCTGCCATAAAGTTTTGTTTATCCCTACAATACCATCCTTCCCCAGTGCTCGCTTTGGTTATCATTAGACATGATTTATGGAGGGTCTCCCAGATCCTCCATAGGTGCCAGTTTTGTGCGCCCCTGCATGCAATGAGATGCATATGACTGGACAAAAGTAATCAGAATGATAACTTTACTGGAGGTGGATTGGAGATGCAATGAGGATTAATGCTGAATGGGGGTGGGAGGGGCTAGTAAGCGAAATAATTTAGAAAAGTCCAATTTAGATGTATACATATTTTATAGGACTATTACTATAACTTAAAGTGGTTTTGGTACTTGTAGTAACTGCTTTTTTTAAATAGTTTTTTCCATTTCTATTCGGTAACCATGGGGCATTAGTGAACATTAAATTGAGACTGAAAGAGAGAAAAAGAAGGAAGGGGGTTAATCATTTAAGGGAACACTATAGGGTCAAGAACACAAAAATGTATAGCTGACCCTATAGTGTTAAAACCATAATTTAGGTGGCTTGCCTCTCATTAAGCCCATTAAAAGGTAATAAAACCTATCTTTTTTCCAGCATCGCGCTGGCCCTGCCCCGATCCACCTCCTTGCTGACATCAGAATTTATGATTTTTAGCCAATCTAATGCTTTTTCATAGGGAACCTTAACCTTAAACAGCACAAACAGAAATTTGTCTCCCAAGACAATTTTTTTTTTTTTTGAGGCCACCTTCCCATGTGCACCATGGGTTTTTCCAGATGAAGTTCAGCCTCTCTTCATCTGAAGAACTTCGTAATCAGCCTGCAGGAGCAGGACTGACCGAGTTAGGTACATATTAGTATATGTACCACAGCATGAGGAATCCTTTAAATGGGCTATACATAATTGCAATGATGTGGGGTTGGTGAAACCTTGAAAATTCCCCTTGTATGCATCAAATAACCCCCTCTGATCCTGGGGCAGAGAATTGGGAGAAGCCTGGGTAAGTGTTTAAATCTCTTAGCCTGAGTATGTACCTGAATCATGGTGCTTTTCCATGTGTATCAAGAGAGCATGTTCCTTGTGGCTCTCTAGGAGCAAGAATGAGTGTTTTTCGCCAGCTTCTCCGGTCTATTCTGATCTCGGTATGCGGAGCATACGCAGGAACGTCGACGTTCGAACCTGTGTAGTTTGCTGGAAGGCTACCCTAGAGAGGAAAATTATCTAACAAGGTACAAGTTATACTTCAAAAACAATATTTCAATTCTTTTTCATCTCTTAAGGAATTTTAAATCCTAAAATAATCTTTGCGTTTTTTTTTTTTTATAGATGACTTCTTACTCTGCCTCAAGATCTTTATCTAGAAATCAAAGATCCTCATCGCTTTGGTTGCAGTTATCCAAAAGAAAGGGATAGAGATCTATCATTATGCGGACAACTTCTTGATTATAGGTCCATCCCGCCAGATAGTAGCCCTCCACACTCAGGTGACAGTAGAACATCTAATAGAACATGGGTGGAAGTTGAATACGGAAAAGAGTATGATGATACCTGCTCAGAAGATGATATTCCTAGGTGCAGCTATAGACACTAGCAACTGGACAGTGAATTTATCACCAGAAAGAATAGAGAGGATTCAAGTAAAGATCCGGAAACTTCACTACAAAGTACACATAACGGCAAGGGAATTTATGAGCCTATTGGGCTCTCTTACATCCACTATAGGATTAGTCAAATTGGCACAGTGGAACATGCATCTAAATCAAATGAAAATCTTAAAAAACTTCAAGAATCGAGAGTGCAACTGGGATCAGAGAATTCTTCTCACTGAGAAAACATTAGACTACCTAAATGAAAAACCTATCTCTGGGCTTTCCATTGGAAGAACCACCATGGAAGGCAGTGACCACAGATGCAAGTCTCCAAGGATGGGGTGCACATTTAGAAGAGAAGTGGATACATGGACATCAGAAGAGAGGATGATGCATTCAAATCTTATCAAATATACTATGCCCTTTTGGGATTTTAGCAGTGCCTAAAGAACTCTTGAGTAAGAATTCAAACAGACAACACAGCTGTGCTGTCATATATAAATCAATAAGGTGGAACCTGACGCAAAGCTCTCTTAAAAGAAATAGTTCCCCTTATGGAATTTAGTCAAGACAATATATAGGGTCTGAAAGCAGTCTACCTCCCAGGACCCGAAAATGTTTTGGCAGACTATTTGAGAAGTAGTACGATACTAGCTGGAGAAAGGAAATTGTATCCAGAAGTATTTTAAATGATATGATTAAGGTGGGGCACACCTCAGATCAACTTGATGGCTTCGAACCGGAATGCTCAAGTCCCGAAGTATTTTTCTCTACAAGCGGACTATTGATCAGCAGGACTTCGATCTGGGATATGCATTCCCTCCCCTGCCTATGATTAACCGATTTATTGAGGAAAGTTTGGGAAGAAGAGAAGATGGTTATTGCAATAATTCTGAATTGGCCAAGGAGACCTTGGTTCGCGATCCTGAACACTTCCTCAGAGACCAGATTTGTTGATCCAAGGTCCAGCAGTTTATCACAATCCAAACCAGATGAATTTGGGGGCTTGGCTTTTGAGAAGCAGAGACTCTTAGAGCAAGGATTACCTGTCTCCATATTCCATATTGCACAGGAAGTTGTCCTGCCTTCTTTTTATCCAAACCCTTTCTCCTCTGAAGAATTTAAGCTCCATCAATTGGATGTTAAGGAATGTTAGATGAACTATCTGGAGGCCACTAAACAATTTCGGAAGTCACAACATTTATTCATTCTTCCATCTGGCTACAGAAAAGATGAAGCTGCTTCTTCCACTACTTTGAGGCGT